TCCAAATCCAAACCAAGCAAAATGTCAGTGTATTAATAAAAAAAATAAAGAATTTAAAAGTTACATCAAAAAGTTTTCTGATGATTTTTAAAAAAGTAAATTTTTTTAATGACAAAAAAAAAAAAATTGGAAGAAAAAAACGAAAAAGTCAAAAGAGAACTTCTCAAAACAGCCTTCTAAATTTTTCTAAACATGACAAAAATAGCTCTTGTGGTATAACCATGACTTATATACAACCATGGACTTATATAACCATGACTTATATACAACCATGGACTTATATAACCGTGACTTATATATAACCATGGACTTATATAACCGTGACTTATATATAACTATGGACTTATATAACCATGACTTATATATAACCATGGACTTATATAACCGTGACTTATATATAACTATGGACTTATATAACCATGACTTATATATAACCATGGACTTATATAACCATGACTTATATATAACCATGGACTTATATAACCATGACTTATATATAACCATGGACTTATATAACCATGACTTATATATAACCATGACTTATATAACCATGGACTTATATAACCATGACTTATATATAACCATGGCTTATATATAACCATGACTTATATAACCATGACTTATATATAACCATGACTTATATAACCATGGACTTATATATAACCATGGACTTATATAACCATGACTTATATAACCATGGACTTATATATAACCATGGACTTATATATAACCATGGACTTATATAACCATGACTTATATATAACCATGGACTTATATAACCATGACTTATATATAACCATGACTTATATATAACCATGACTTATATATAACCATGGACTTATATAACCATGACTTATATATAACCATGACTTATATAACCATGGACTTATATAACCATGACTTATATATAACCATGGCTTATATATAACCATGACTTATATAACCATGACTTATATATAACCATGACTTATATAACCATGGACTTATATAACCATGACTTATATATAACCATGACTTATATAACCATGACTTTAAGATGAGCCAGTTCTTTTAAGCCCGCCCACCAAACCAAAAGAGACGCATTAATAAAAAAGTTTTGTTTCTTTTTCACAAAAACTTGAAAAACACGATACCGCCCCAGAACAGAAGACAGAGCATACATCTGCTACTTGGGTGCCTGTGACCAACAGAAAAAAAAAAAAGAAAAAAAGAGCGATCCAACCATCACTTCACTGTCTCCGATCCCCTTTCCACCCTGAGATTATCTCCTGGATAAATAGTTCACTCGGGATGGCTCAGGACAAAATAAAAAGTTATTTTTGTTCAATGAAATCTTTGTACTTGTAAAACCACCCCCGTCCCCCCCTTCACAATTTAGTTCATGTAGGAGGAGGAGGGCGTTAACCCTGCCTGTCAGGACCAACCCAGGCTGAGAGAGATACAACTTCCCAGGCTGAGAGAGATACAACTTCCCAGGCTGAGAGAGATACAACTTCCCAGGCTGAGAGATACAACGTCCCAGGCTGAGAGAGATACAACTTCCCAGGCTGAGAGAGATACAACTTCCCAGGCTGAGAGAGATACAACTTCCCAGGCTGAGAGAGATACAACTTCCCAGGCTGAGAGAGATACAACTTCCCAGGCTGAGAGAGATACAACTTCCCAGGCTGAGAGAGATACAACTTCCCAGGCTGAGAGAGATACAACTTCCCAGGCTGAGAGATACAACGTCCCAGGCTGAGAGAGATACAACTTCCCAGGCTGAGAGAGATACAACGTCCCAGGCTGAGAGAGATACAATGCCCAAGGCTGAGAGAGATACAATGCCCAAGGCTGAGAGAGATACAACTTCCCAGGCTGAGAGATACAACTTCCCAGGCTGAGAGAGATACAACGTCCCAGGCTGAGAGAGATACAATGCCCAAGGCTGAGAGAGATACAATGCCCAAGGCTGAGAGAGATACAACTTCCCAGGCTGAGAGATACAACTTCCCAGGCTGAGAGAGATACAACTTCCCTGGCTGAGATAGATACAATGCCCAAGGCTGAGAGAGATACAACTTCCCAGGCTGAGATAGATACAATGCCCAAGGCTGAGAGAGATACAACTTCCCAGGCTGAGATAGATACAATGCCCAAGGCTAAGAGAGATACAATGCCCCAGGATACAACATCCAAGCAGAAAGACTGAGTTACTTGATAAAAATTGTCCCCAAAATGAGAATTGAACTCAGGTCTTTTTCATGCCACGGCAGAGAGCCGAACCGCTACACCACAGACTCCACGGTTCTGAACAAAGACCCGCACACAATCAAATGTAAAACCGGAGTACGTTAACTTCATTAACATGATGCGAACTACACCAACCAAAACTATTTACTGGATTCAAACATGAACTTCCATCGAAACAAAAAAAAAGACAAGCATTACATTTATACAAAGAACAGAACAGCTTTTGTATCCAAACAATCACAGGTGACATACGCCATTGCTATGGACATGATACGCAGTAACAAACGTAACTATCAGTCGTTTACCTGTAAATTTACCTCAAACACACCAACTCTCTTCATCACAACAAACCATATTATCTTAAAGCCGATTGAAATGAGCACAGCCCCAAACGCAAACCCAACAGTAATACAAATAACCTCTCATCTCAGTTTTAGTACAAAGAATGAGTTTTAAAGCACTTACAACACAACAATAGGTCATGCAAGAGCTGAAGATTACAGGTGTCACTAGATTGTAACATACCAAGAAAAAAAAGAAAAAACCCACAAAAGGACAGATAAAGACGATGGACGTTTGATAGGATAGACAGAAGGCGGAGCAAACCACACCAGGGCGCCCGACAACCACCCACACACCAGCCTTGCATAACGGCGCGGTAAATCACTCGTGGTTTACAACAGAAACAACAGTCAGTCAAGATCACAGCATAGCATGAAGCAGGCTAGAGTAATCAACAAACAAAATGATCCGGTTTGAGATAACTAACAACGATCCACGCCTACTGTTGAGAGCTGTGACAATTCTTGGAAATCAACGGATCTGGATCGCTCGTTCTAAACGTAAGCTAAGCACACGTTCTTGCGTACTCATAATCATAAAGAGGCTTAATATAAATGATATAACAACAAGATCAACGAAATTCCGAGTAGTCTGCTTAAACCAAACTAGGACTTTAGAAGGTCAATTAAAAATGGCAAAACTGTGTCGATTTGCAGGCTCCACGATTTGCAGACTCCACGGTTCTGGACAAAGACCCGCACACAATCATTCGATTTGCTCTTACTGGTTTTTTTATGGAGAGAAGTTGCATTATACCATGAGTGTCAGATTTCAGCTGTCTAGCTTGCTTCTTTTGTAGTCAGGGTAAAGACTTTCAATACCTACTGCTTTCACCAGTTTTTATCGTTTTCTTCATTTCATCCTCCAGGTAACGACTAGATTGTGATAAAAGAAGGCTCAGTGCCCTTTCGGTCCATATAAACACATTTCGGTAGAGATTTTACACACAAAAAAAAGTTGATTAAAAAGGCAAAAGAAATGTAAAACTGCCTTTTCCGACGACACCTAAGCTTCGAAAGCCACCCACTTTTTTGCTAATTTTTACCTCTGACGCCAGGCAATCCCCATCTGAAAATATTCCTCTCCACTTTTTATTAAAGATGAACATCTTTTTTCATCAAAGGCAAGACAAATGGAAAAGCTTTAAGACAGATGATAGCAATAACTCCATACGCCCAAAAAGTGACGAGCGTCCGATTCCACGGAGTCATGACACATGCAAACATAACTCGAGTGTGCGAAGGCAAAGACATGTCCTCTTGAAATATCCTTTAATCTGCGAAAACCACGAGGAGCGAAAATCTCAAAACTCATATATATATATATATATAGACCCAGGCCGGTTTCCACAACATCATAAAAGCCTCGTATAGACAGCAAGGTATTTGCAAAACAGACCTTGGGCACGTACTCACCGCTACCTTCCTGCAGAGACAGAACATGCAAATGAGAGCAGCACGCACAAGACAAGTTGCAACGCTTTAGTTCCCCGTAAGACTAAAATGATACTTTGGAATGAACAGGCCGGCCAAGGGAGTGAATTACTGAGAAATAGCGTAAGCCTGGAGGAGAAACAAGAGTGCGGCAGAGGTGTCAACTGACTATTTCAGGGAAAAGACAAAGGTAGGTCTTCAACCTGACCCCTTCGAAATGCTCCGATGATATTGTCAAATCTGTCCCCGTCGTTTTATGCAAGAAAAAATCTGAAATTATGCAAACTGAGCCCAAAAAATGTGAAATTGCGCGATTCTGTTAATTCTGGATTTGTGTCCGTCAAATCGGCACCTCTTGAGTTATTGTGAAGCAGTGTGAGCCTTTAAGACACACCATCTAGAGTCATTGTGAAGCAGTGTGAGCCTTTAAGACACACCTCTAGAGTCACTGTGAAGCAGTGTGAGCCTTTAAGACACACCCTCTAGAGTCACTGTGAAGCAGTGTAAGCCTTTAAGACACACCCTCTAGAGTCATTGTGAAGCAGTGTGAGCCTTTAAGACACACACAAGAACAAACGAGCACTTCGGCTGTTTTAGCAACTTTCCACTCATGCCTCCACGACAAAAGGGACAGACTGTCGTCCCACTCTGCAACTGTCCACCATCTGGGACACGAAATATGACAGAGTTTGTGAAAGTAAACAAGAAAAAACCACCAACAACCCAACAACATGAAAGTACAGTTGTAGGCCTTCCGAGTTATGATGAACTAACCCTTCAATTTCTGCTTGCTGTGCAGGAAATTGATGGCAAACGAGGCAGGGGTAGGCCCAGAACAACCTACTTGGGGAACCTAAACAGATGGGTAACGGAGAAAGATCAGGGAAACGTAGCTTTTTTGAGAGCATCCGAGCAAAGGAATGAATGGAAAACCATGATCGCCGATGTCTGTCGCAGATCTGGCACGGGATGATGATGATGATGATGATGATGATGATGAGCAGGAAATCAGTGAAAATATTAGAGGCAGACCACAGAAGCTAGTGCAGTCAAAGCCGCTCTAACGAGTGCAGTCAAAGCCACTCTAACGAGTGCAGTCAAAGCCGCTGTAACGGCCACCTGTCCAAGACAATCCCCCGTAACAAACGACCACTTCCCATCTCGTCTTTTTTTCACTTTATATATATAACAACAACGTCAGACGTTCACCTGTCTTGAGACGATGAGACAACTACTTTTCTCCTTGACAAAGAGTGGCCGTTTTAGACCATTTCGACTGCGCATTTATCCCTGCAAGAATTGATCTCATGTCTTTTACATCTAACAGCAACGAACCTAACTGTTACACCACAGACACCCATCCCCAAAGCCTTCATGTTAATCCCTCAATGTCTGACATGTTAATCCGTCAATGTCTGACATGTTTATCTGTCAATGTCTGACATGTTTATCCCTCAATGTCTGACATGTTTATCCGTCAATGTCTGACATGTTAATCCGTCAATGTCTGACATGTTAATCCCTCAATGTCTGACTTGTTTATCCGTCAATGTATGACAAAGACCAATGTGTCTGCAGAGGAGAATATTTCTTCAAGAGAAATAGAAGAAGTAAGGATTTAGAGGACCTGTGGCTTCTACTTTGGCCAACGAGACCCATTCTGGAAGAGGGGGCCACTTTTGCGCATATAAGGGCCTCCTTTCCATTTGTGGATGCACGCAGTTTGTTTGCGGGTTTACCTCTTGGCTTCAGCATTTATCTAGCCATCAGATACGCTGTACCAGAGCGAAAAAGTGAGCCTGGTGTTGGTGCCTAATATGCGTTCTTATCCATCCTTTCCTTAGTCTTTGTCGTCTACCCACATTAAATCCCTTCACCGATTGGGCGAGCAAAGTTTTAAACAGTCAGGCAGAGACTGCAGCACAATGTGACCTCTTTGCTGACCGGGGTTTGCAAGTGTTGCTGCACTGTTTAAGTATCTTGTCTTATGGAACAGTTCTTGCTTTCAATATTTAAAAAAAAATTCTTCTTTAAAAAAAAAGTAGTCCCATATCAAACATAATACGCTCACTTCATATCCATATCACAAACCCTAGGCAAACAAGACAAATTTAAATGGAATTCATTGCACAGCTGAAATATGTCTGATTAAACAGTCCTAGCTCTATCTATCACCGAAAAAAAAAGAAAAAGAAAAAAAAATTCCCATTCCAAAAAAAAAGTTGGCACATATCAAACATAATATATTCACTTCACATCAATTATTATTGACCCTCAGCAAACGAGATAAAAGCTAAAAAAAAAGGACAGCTGCCTCTCCGCACTGACACAGCGGCACTAACGACGAGCGAGAGAAGTGAGGTTCGGGCCTACAAGACGACGTTGACCGGGGTGTGGTCGGGGCTGTCCACCTTGAGCTTCTCTGCCGCCAGGTCGCTCTTGGCCTGCGCCATCTCCAGGATGTCCTGGGCCAGAGCCTCTACGTCCGTGAAGCGAACTTTGTTGAAACTGAACATCTCACGGATGAAGCCCAGAACCAGATCCTGATAAAACAAAAGACAACCCTTGTAAACAATAGCCTATGTATCTCCTGACAACATTTGCAAACTATTGCTTATGTATCTCACGGATGAAGCCCAGAACCAAATTCTGATAAAATACAACACAAACCTTGTAAAGTATTGCCAGCAAGAAAAAAAATTAACTTTGAAACAATTTGGAGAAACTTTATCCCCCCCCCCCCCCCCCACACACACACAGTAATGATAAGCACCTAGTATGAGTGTTTGAGTTTACCGCCCCTATCAAAAAGGTCTACTTAAAGACTATTTTAAGAGGCTGGACCTCCGAATTGAGTTTCTGTCTCTAATAGGACCAAGCCAAATGGGTTGAGAGCCTTGAAAATTACGCAAAACAACCCGAGTTCAGGAAAAATCCCTAGTCTCAGATTCGAACTACGGCCATCCATTCCATAGTCCATCATGATACCAACGGAACTAACTGAGCGCCCCAAGTGCCCCTGCACAAAGAAGACTTTCTCAAAACACCACTGCTGACAAGTTTATGTATGCCAATACACAAAAATTCTTGTTTGTTTTACATTTGTTTAGGAAATCTTCAAAAGTATGCTCATAAGCTAAGGTTAATTCTAAAAGAGAGAAAGAAATACCACAGATCGATTGAAAATTATAACTCCTGCACCTGAAAGTCTACAAAGAAAGAAAGCAATGAAACATTCTTTAAGTTTTGTAAGCAAATAGAATTCAAAGAAACTTTGCAGTGTGCTCTTTTTTTTTTTAGAGAGCAATGGAAAATTATCAATATGACCAAATGCGGGCTTACAGCGTTCTCAGATCAAGAAGACAAACTAACAAGGATTCATCCTTACACAATGTGTACATTTTCAATACTAGATTATTGGTCAAATGGAACAAAAGCAAAGAAAACGCAACTCTTCGTACCTTGAAAAAATTGCACATGTCCTTCAGTTCAGAGTCTGGTCCCAGAAAACCCCACGCTAACAAGGGACTCGTGTGCTCAGAAATGGAGTAAAAATGAGCGATGAATCCATCGTTGAACTTCAAAACAAAACAACAAGGAAAACACCACTCAGAAACAGTAATAGTGATTCGCCATTTATGATTCATCAACACATGCACAAAAAAAGACAGAAGCCAAAATATTACAAAACCAAACTACGGAAAAAGGTTGACTTGAGGGCCAAAAATGAGAGAGAGAGAGAGAGAGAGAGACAGAGACAGAGAGAGAGAGAGAGAGAATGGGAGAGAGAGAGAGAGAGAGAGAGAGAGAGAGAGAGAGAGAGAGAGAGAGAGAGAGAGAGAGAGAGGGAGAGAGAGGCAGAGAGAGAAAGAGAGAGAGAAAGAGAGAAAGGAAGGGAGGGAGGGATGTACGGGGGAGTTTAAATCCCAACTTGAAAAAGAACCATTTCCCAAATAAACTGACCACAGAACCCACCAGCCCCACTCACCTTCAAAAGACTTCTCTTTGCCTTCAACACAGACCACACAGCAGTAGCTAAAGCCTACAAGGCAGAAAGAAAGAAAAAACCAACAACCTTTCAGTAATGGACCCTAATATAAAATGAAGTAACAGAAACAGTTTTTAGAATTCCTTTAAAAAATTAGCACATCTCCTATTATTAAATAGTTTTTATTTTATAAATCATAAAAACTATTTTTAGCAAATCTGCTATTATTAAACAGTTTTTATTTTATAATTCATTAATATTGCAAATCTCCTATAATTAAACAGTTTTTATTTTATAATTCATTAAAAAAGAAATAGCAAATCTGTTATTATTGAACAGTTTTTATTTTATAATTCATTAATATTGCAGATGTCCTATTATTTATTATTAAACAGTTTTTATTTTATAATTCATTTAAAAAATGGCAGACCTGCAATTACTTAACAGTTTTCCTAAAATGTACATGATAGAAACCCCAGTATGTGTGAACTCACAGTCTCCTTGAAGCATGATAGCAACCCCAGTATGTGGGGTTCTTTTTATAGTAGAGGGTGTTACAGCGCTCGCAACTACATAAGGTCATATGAGCGCCAAGGGGTGGGCGTCAACAGAGAAGTCTTTACAGGGAATCAGACTTCGACTGCTCACCTCTCTAGCTTCAACAGCACAAGGTCTGCTTCGACTATCATGGCACCCCGGAAATCGCAGGTCACAAGAGAGTGACAAACATACAAAAGAAATAGAGGAAATGACAATAGAAAGGACCAGGGAAGAAAAAGCAGCAGTTCCCTGTTGTAGATCAGGCACAGTTATGAGCATGACATTGACGAATCATGATGAGTCAGCCCATTTACAATTCTACTATGCTTGAACGAGAAATGTCCCTCCTTTGGGAATGGCCTAAAGACACTACAGTCAGTGGCACTGCCCCGGGGGGTACCCCAGTATGTGTGAACTCACAGTCTCCTTGAAGCCGTTGGAGAGCCACCTGTTCTGGACGACGGTCAGCACGGTGGACGGGGGGTTGGCAAGGTCATCAAAGGCGTCCATGAGGATGAAGTCGAGGACGATGTCGTAGAAGGACATGACACGCACCTGGAACAGGGAATGGGTATTTACATCAATGGTTTAGTTTTTTAGTTTCAGTACTTTACTTTTCCTTTACATCCTCTGTTGCCGTTAAGCGTCGAGGGGAGATACAGTTTTCTATGGTAGGCCATCTCCGAAGCTCTTTCAGTTGTGATTTTATGTATTCTTAGTTTTAGTAGAGGTCCAAAATGTCCACCTGCCGAAAGCAACCACCTTCCTCCTCAAAAAGTGGGTGGCCCCCTCGGACAATTAAATAATAATAATTAGCATTTGTATAGTGCATATCCCAACTCAACACAACAGCAAGTCCTATGTGCTTTACAATCCATATATTTACCCCAGCAGACCCAAGAATACTCAAAAACATTCTTGGCTTTCCAGGAAGCAAAGAACAAGCAGCCGGTTAGGCACTCAAACACCAATAAAGTGACAAGATCTTTTGCTGTCAGTAGCTGGATATCCATTCCCACCTGGGTGATGTGAGGAAAATTTGCTTTAAAAATGCCTACAACGTTGGACCCCTGACCGGGCTCAAACCCACAACCTTTCAGTTGCAAGCCCTACAGCTCATCCACTAGACCACAGTACAAACATTCAAAACGTGAGGCAGTACGAGTACACGCACAGACAGAGCAGCCCTGGTCCGGGCCACAGTGCACCCGCTCACCCCTCCACAGTGCACCCACTCACCCCTCCACAGTGCACCCACTCACCCCTCCACAGTGCACCCACTCACCCCTCCACAGTGCACCCACTCACCCCTCCACAGTGCACCCACTCACCCCTCTCCCCCTCAGCTCCTCCTCAATCTGAGGCCAGTTGGCCTCCACGCTGATGTAGTCCATCATTTTGTCGTACGTCGTGTGAAACTCCTCCACATCCTGGGAAGAAAAGAAAAGACAAAAAAGTAGATACTTCAATCTCTCCGCGTCGTTTTACGCAAGAAAAATTCTGAAATTATGCAAACTGAGCCCAAAAATGTGAAGTTATGCGATTCTGTTAATTTTAACAAAGAATGATAAAGGAAAATAATCAGAAATTATGCAAAAAATGATCAAATTTTGCTAAATTATGCGGGGTGCATAAAACCACGGGGACAGTTCAATACTTCAATGCCCCCCTTTAACACAACACAATTTCAATCAATAAGAAGGCGCGCTTCCGACCCTGCCTGTCAGGGCCAATCCAGTCTGAGAGGGATACAACATTCAGGCAGAAAGACCGAGAGGCACAATGAAAATTCTCCCCTCTCAGGAATTAAAAAGGAGTGTTTAGTTTTAGCAGAGGTTTTACGGCGCTCCCAACTGCATAAGGTCATATGAGCGTCAGAAGATTAGAGGTGTTACAAGAGAGTAACAAACACAAAAAGGAAGAAGGGGAGATAAGGACGATAGATGTTTGACAGGAAAAAAGAAGCAAACCATACCGGAGCACCCGTCAAACAGGGGACAGTGAAGGACCCAACCGTTACAACACAGATGCCGGTATCCTGTCTTTTTTAGTTATAGCAAGAGTTTTACGGCACTTGCAGCACAATTATAAGGTCATATGAGCGCCAGAAGATTAGAAGTGTTACAAGAGAGTGACAAACACAAAAAAGAAGGAAAGATCACGGCTCAAAACGATAGATGTTTAATAGGAAAGAAGAAGCAAACCACACCAGAGCACCTGTTAACCACCCCGGGGGGGGGCAGGGCTGAAAAGTTTTACCCCCCCCAAAAAAAACCCCCAAACAAATATCCCACACTAGGACGCTGCTCTGTCAACAAAATACACAAAGAGGCAGAAACAAGCTGGCCATTTGACAAGACGGTAGAGAGAAAGCCCTGCCTTGTCAGCTTTGATGAGGAGATCTCCGATCAGCTTCCTGCCCATCTTCTTGAACCACGTCTTCTTCTCCTCCTCCTGAAATATGCTCTGGAGGACAGAGAAAAAAACAACAACAAATTTGACGACATGAAACTTCTCTGGAAGAAATTTTTTGTTTTAGTAGAGGTTTTACAAAGCTCGCAACTGCATAAGGTCATATGAGCGCCAGAAGATTAGATGTGTTACAAGAGAGTAACAAACATAAAAAAGAAGAAGGGGAGATAAGGACGATAGATCTATGTTTGATAAGAAAGAAGAAGCAAACCACACCAGAGCACCCGCCAACCACCCACTCTGGAAGAAAGGTATTGGGGGCTCCAGTGGCTAAGTGAGTAGTGAGTTTTGACTCAAGCAATATCAAGCAAGTGTCGGTGACACGGGGATCAGATAGGTGGTCACTGGAGTGTGTCCTTGAGCAAGACACGACAACCCTAGCTCAAAATACAGGGCACTGCAGTGGCGACCCACAGTGGCATGGTTGTAAACTGTTCTGTATTTGTGTAATAGTGTGTATTTATATATCTATTTATGCATTATGTATTTATGTATGTACATATTTATAATTATGTATTTATGTATGTATGTTTGCCATTGTAAAACAATGTGCCCTTCTGGGACAAATAAAAGTGTAATTTATTATTATTATTATTATTTGCAAAACATCCAAAACTCAGGATTGAAAAGATTTTAATTCAGGTATTCAACACATGAAACCAAGATCTAGTAGTAATCACAACAAATCTTATACCAGATTAAAAAAAAAAAAAGGAACAAGAATGGGTTGAGGTTAGGACTACACGCTACTAAAATTTCAAAAATTGCCTGCCCTGCATTAACTTACAATATACAAATACACTAGCAAGCTGTACCAGCATTTAAAAATGTGAATTGATGTATAAACACCTGAAAATGAAATGGTATGAGTTTAACGCCCCTATCAACACTATTAGGTTATTTAAGAGGCGGAACCTCCTAGTTTAACGTCCGTCTCCGATAGGACCGAGCCAAGTGGGAAGTTCGAGTAAAGTGCCTTTCCCAAGGACACAACGTCGGAACGAGCTGAAGCTCGAACTCCCGAACCCGCAATCTCACGATTACGAGTCCGGTAGCCTAACCACTAGGCCACCGATGCCACTTATAAACACCTGAGAGCATGAATTAGTGAAAACACCTAAAAACATGAATAAGTAAAAAGTAAAGTTGTTTCCGCATCTGTTCCGGACATTGGGGATTGCCTCGTTATTGAGACAACTTCCTGGGCCTTCCGCATATTGTGGTAGGGTGGCCAGTTCCTTTCCCCGCCGCCTTTACTTCCCCAACTCGAAGTCAGGTACCCATTACAGCTGGGTGGGCAGGAAGGGGCGAAAAAAATCTGTGTCCGAACTGAGACTCGAACCCGGACTTTCCGCTTCGGAGATGAGCGCACTAACCGCTCTGCCACCGCACCCTCAGAATACGTAAACGTCTAAAAAACAAAAATCATGTAAACACCTAAAACAAAAACTTCCTTTTCATAAAGACAGACTAAGAAACTTGATCAACAAAATAAGAGTTGTAAATGGAGAACCAGAACTACCTGAAATGCTAACCGTATGCCATGTAATTTGGCCAAGAATTCCACATCTGAAAGGCATTTCACCATATCTGGTCTGGAGAAAAGAACAGAAGAATCTTTACAAAAAATAGAGAAATTAAAAAACAACAACAAAAAACCATGAAAAAGACATGCAAAATCCTTTTTTTTTTTAAATTTAAAAATATATACTGAAAAACACATTGCAAATAATCACAAATAACTCTACATTTATCATATTCAAATTATACATTTCAAGAAGATCTGAAGTCGATGGATGTGAACAGAATACTTGCACTTAATAAGAAAATCAAATTCTTGTGTCACCATCTTCAACAAAACCCACGACATTTATGAGAACACTTAGTTGGAGTTTACAAATAATTTGTTGGAGACAAAAATCAAATCCATTGGACGGAAAACATTGTCACAGAAGTGAACCCGACAGGCCTGCAGTTCATAAAGATCCCTCACACATCCTCAGAGAAATCTGTTCACCATGACAAGAGACAGGCAGATTTTAAAAAAGTTTTAGTAGTTTTAGTAAGTGTATTACAGCACTAGCAACACAATAAGGTCATATAAGTGCCGAAGATTAGAGGTGTTACAAGAGTGTAGCAAACACAAAAAAAGGACGGGAGATAAGGACGATAGATGTCTGATAGGAAAGAAGGAGCAAACCACACCAGAGCACCCGCCACCCACCCACGAGACAGGCAGAACAAGCATAAGTAAGAGCAAAAATGTTTCAGCACTTGCAACACAAATAGGTCATATAAGTGCCAAAGATTATTTTATTTTTTTACAGTAGAGGGTTTTACGGCGCTCGCAACTCCATAAGGTAATATGAGCGCCAAGGGGTGGGTGTCAACAGAGAAGTCTTTACAGGGAATCAGACTTAGACTGCTCACCTCTCTAGCTTTAACAGCACAAGGTCTGCTTCGACTATCAAGGCACCCCAAAATAGCAGGTCACAAGAGAGTGACAAACATACAAAAGAAGTAGAGGAAAATGACAATAGTAAGGATCAGGAAAGAAAAAGCAGCAGTTCCCTGTTGTAGATCAGGCACAGTTATGAGCGTGACATGAGTCAGCCCATTTACAATTCTACTATGCTTGAACGAGAAATGTCCCCCCTTTGGGAATGGCCTAAAGACACTACAGTCAGTGGCACTGCCCCCGGGGGCCCCCCTTTGGGAATGGCCTAAAGACACTACAGTCAGTGGCACTGCCCCCGGGGGGGGGGGTAAAAGACACTACAGTCAGTGGCACTGCCCCGGGGGGTATTGCCAAAGATTAAAAGTGCTACTTGAGTGTATTATACAAAGAAAAGAAGGAGGAGAAATAAGGATGACAGATGTTTGACACGAAAGAAGGAGAAGACCACACCAGAGCACCCAACAACCACACGGACGCAGAATTTGAAAAGTTTTTTTTTCTTCAACATCAACTGTTTCCAAAAAAGAAGGGCAACCTACCTGATGGTTCGACACGGCACATTTCCATACTTGAGCTCCAACATCCCAGCTTCGTACAACGGAACGTGGTGCAGAATATCACGATTGAAATCCAGATCTGTCAAGTTTGCCATCTGTGTGTCACACAAATTGAAGAGGCGATAATGTATTCTGTACTACGTTTAGTTAGTTAGTTTTTAAAAAGTTTTAGTAGAGGGTTTTACGGCGCTCACAACTGCATAAGGTCATATGAGCACCAAGGGTTGAGTGTCAATAGAGAAGTCTACAGGGAATCAGACTTGCTCTACTCACCTCTCTAGCTTCAACAGCACAAAGTTTGCTTCGACTATCAAGGCACCCCGGAAACAGCAGGTCACAAGAGTGTGACAAACATACAAAAGAAGTAGAGGAAAATGACTATAGTAAGGATTAGGAAAGAAAAAGCAGAAGTTCCCTGTTGTAGATCAGGCACAGTTATGAGCGTGACATGATGAATCAGTCCATTTACAATTCTACTGTGCATGAACGAGAAATGTCCCCCCTTTGGGAATGGCCTAAAGACACTACAGTCAGTGGCACTGCCCCGGGGGGGATTTTTCTGTACTATACCCGACTTGTAAGTTACATAAATTGAAGAGGCAATATTGTATTCTGTACTCTGTTTTGTTTTAGTAAGTGTTTTACGGCACTTGCAACACAATAAGGTCATATAAGTGCTGAAGATTAGAGGTGTTACAAGAGAGTAACAAACACAAAAAAGAAGGGAAGAGAGATAAGGACGATAGATGTTTGATAGGAAAGAAGGAGCAAACCACACCAGAGCACCCGCCAACCACCCACATTCTGTACTATTTTAGTTTAGTTTTAGTAGAAGTTTTACGGAGCTCGCAACTGCATAAGGTCATATGAGCGCCAGAAGATTAGAGGTGCTACAAGAGAGTAACAAACACAAAAAAGAAGGGAAGAGAGATAAAGACGATAGATGTTTGATAGGAAAGAAGGAGCAAACCACACCAGAGCACCCGTCAACCACCCATCAACAATACATTACAACCCAACACAATTCATATGCTTACATATAAAACAATGACAGACTTAAACATGGAACACAATAATAAAACGAAAACAGCGACGACAAAACGGGGACGGTAAACAGGAAGTCTTACATCCGTGGCCGACACGAAGGACTCCTGGTCGCTGGAGTCGTCCTCAAAGCTCTTGTCCTGGTTCTCCCGGAAGACAGAGAGCGCCGACTCGAGCGCGATGTGGTCGGCGTCCCGCTCGCACAGACGCTCGTAGTTGTCCTGCATGCGGTACGCCAGGTCCAGAAGGTTCTCCAGCTTGTGTTGCAGGTTGGACGTCTCCGAGTCCTGGACACGATGGAAAATGTGCAGGAGGGAAAGGGATTAGCAAGAAGGCCAGGAGGAGGAGGAGGAGAGGAGGAAGAAAAAGAGGAAAGTAGGAGGAGGAGGAGAAGAAGAAGAAGAGAAGGAGGAGGAGAAGAAGAAGAGAAGGAGGAGGAGAAGAAAAAGAGAAGGAGGAGGAGGAGGAGAAGAAAAGGAGGAGGAGGAGGAGGAGGAGGAGGAGGAGGAGGAGGAGAAGAAGAAAAAGAAGAAGAAGAAGAAAAAGAAGAAGAAGAAGAAGAAGAAGAAGAAGAAAAAGAAGAAGAGAAGAAGAAGAAGAAGAAGAAGAAGAAGAAGAAGAAGAAGAAGAAGAAGAAGAACAACAACAAGAATAATAATTTATATATGGCACCTGATCCCTTGTTGGTTATAAATGCTGTACAATGCAGAATTATCATTCGATACAACTGCCAAATCAAAAGACAAAGCAAATGCACATTGTGCAACCATTTAACAACACACACAAGAAAAAAATATGTCCCTATATATTCAAGCTTTCAAACACACACACACACACACACACACACACATACACACAAACAAAAAGCAACATTAACAACCTACTGGTATTGCTAAAACGTTGGTATGGTCATCTAAATAAGACAGTTTCATCACAGCGTCTTCCCAAAAAGAAACGGCCAGTGACAGATTCTCCATGCCTGTTGAGAAAACAAATATATGGAAACATACATCCTGTAATCTATTACCAAATAATTCACAACATACAGAATCAATAAAATGCATAAAAAGAAACATTGTTCAATCTAGTATAAATGGTCGCCTTTAAGCACAAAAGGTGGCTATCCCGAAAAATGCTGTTTTGAGAAAATTGAAGGTTAAGTTTTTGCCCCTTGTTCAATTTCTTTAAAAGACAAGGAAAGTTTTCTCTATAACCAAACAAATATACACATCAATGAAACTAAACTTCTCCTACTGGCAGAGCAATGCCCACTTTTGGGGAAGGTCAAGATTTCTGGAAACCCCCAAAATCTGGGTTAGCCCGCTTGTCCTTAAAAGCAACCAAATGTCACATGATAATATGTGAACAGCTCAAAAAAAGGGGAAACTCAATCTTGTATTTGTCCTATTTGACATTACACCAAAAGGAAATTCTACTTCCAAAGTTTGCCAAAGTCCTGCAGAATTTTTTTAAACCAAAAAATATTGAGTGCACAAAGGACAAAGACTCCTATCGATTACATTACAAGTTGTTGTTGTTGACTGGGGTGTCTGTGGACTGCCTGCCCACCCTGAGAAGGGGCCATTCATGTTGAGGATAGGAGGGTACAAGAGGTTTTCATGAGACAGGAAAGACCTAACTGCCCTGTGACCGTGTAATTCCGATAGGGTTCACGTTGCCCATTCCCCACCAACAATGGCCACTGGCTAAAGTTTTCTAATCTTTCATGAGGTTTCGGCCAAGTGGGAAAGCCATTGGATCGTCACGTCCTGGGTCGTTGTGCCTGTACTAAGAGGTCCACGGTCAGAAAGTGAGTCAGGCATTCCGCTCGGTCCATCCCCTGCACCCAGACACTCTCAAACTGGCTGGTACCTTCTCAGCCACAGAGGACATTACAAGTTACAACAATGACTGCGCGTCCTCCTGATTTTGCATCCTGTAACAGTGGTTGGTTTTACTTGTGTTTTGTAGGAGTTTCCAGTTTTATTTGACACAGAATCTGTCCCCCCCTTTTTTTTTCCTGGCGTAAGATGATATGCGAACGTCCCCTCCCCTTTAGGGGTTTTCTGGATGAATCGATCCATTTTAGATCTACCCTCCTTAGCCTAAGATTTAAAGTCTTTCACAAATTTTTATACTAGATCTAGATCTACCCTGGTGCTACGGAACAAAGCTAGCTAAGTAATCAGACGGCCGTGTTTACGATTGATTTACTCTAGCTAGACTAGTCCAAACAAGACTATAGGGTCGATCTGCTCGCTAGATTGATGGTGCAAAGCAGCTATCGTGGCTCAAGTTGATCGCGCCCGACTC